CCTCCCGAAGGGGAGCTCAGTTGGAGTCCCCGCTGCCCCGAGACCTCCTGTGGCCCCACTGCCCCGTCGGGCATGGGCTTCTCAGCGTGCAGGGCCTCCGGTGCTGGGCTGCTCTGTGGTGCTTGCCACAGGCCCGAGTCCCAGGCAGCTTGGCCACGCCAGGCCCTGAATACCCTCCATCCTTTCCACGCTCTGAGTGCTGGCAGCCGGGCACCCCCCTCCCCGCTGTGTCCCCAGTCTTGGCAGGGGGGACGTTTCCCGGGAGGGTGGCCCCTGGATTCCGTTCCCCATTGCGCATGTTCCGCGCGGAGAGCGCCTCTGAGCAGCCCTGTGCTCCTGGGGGACTTCACTCCACGTCCGTGTGGGCCTGTGGCCTGTGCCGTGCGGCTGCAATGGTCGTACAGCTGCCCGGCCGTCTTGTAGCCTTTCTGCCTCGGGTCTGGTTCTGCTGCTGGGCTCCTCGCGGGGACGGGCAGGAGCTCTGTGGGGAGGCCGGACCGGCTTGCGGTTCCACCCACAGCAGCCTGCGCTCCTGCTGGGCAGGGGCTGTGCCACCCTCCTGGTTCTCCGGGGTGGGCCGGGCCCCCTGGCTCTCCGCAGCGTTGGGTGCCCTGCCCAGTCGCTCTGCCCTCTGGATTGCAGTGGGCACTGCCCCCTGGTGGCCAGCAGGAGGCTGCATGCCATGGCCAGCTGGTGGGGTTCGCCCTGGTGCAGCCGAGGGTCCGGAGGCGGTGGCCTTTGGGGTGGCCACTCCCCAGGGCTCACACCCGGCTGATCCGAGTCTAGTTGGCTGTTGATTATCTACTCTCACCTGGGGGCTCAGGAGACAGGGGCTTGGGGTTCTTGGCCCACTGATTGGAGTGTGGTTTGGGGTTGGTTTTACCTTGTCTTCCTGAGTTTCTTTATTTGTCAAGTGGGGTTGGCCCTTCTCACTACCTTGCTGCCTTGAGAGCCAGCCACTTCGGGCACATGGTGGAAGGTGCTTTTTAAAAAACATATATTTATTTAATTGATGTCAGAGAGGAAGGGAGAGGGAGAGAGACAGAAACATCAATGATGAGAGAGAGTCATTGATGGGCTGCCTCCTGCACACCCCTCACTGGGGATTGAGCCCGTAACCCGGGCCTGTGCCACGACCGGGACTTGAAACGTGACCTCCTGGCTCACAGGTCAACGCTCAACCACTGAGCCCCGCCGGCCGGGCTGCAGGTGCTTTGAAAGTGCCCGGCCCTGGGCGGTGCGGGATGGGGTGGGGCTGAGCCCCCCGGCCCTGGGCGATGTGGGATGGGGTGGGGCTGAGCCCCCTGGCCCTGGGTGGTGCGGGATGGGGTGGGGCTGAGCCCCCCGGGCCTGCTAACCCCGCCCACTCTGCTGTTTCCCAGGACTTGGCCATGTACATAAATGAAGTGAAACGGGACAAAGAGACCCTGAAGAAAATCAGCGAGTTCCAGAGCTCCATAGAGAACCTGGTAAGTGCCGGCTCTCCAAGGAATGGAGATTGTTCTTCTAAATGTATTTTTACTGATTTCAGAGAGGAAGGGAGAGAGAGAGAGAGAGAGAGAGAGAGATGAGATGAGAAGAGAATCATGGATCGGCTGCCTCCTGCACGCCCCCCACGGGATCCAGCCCACAACCCGGGCCTGTGCCCTGACGGGAATCGAACCGTGACCTTTGGTGCATGGGACAACACTCACTCAACCGAGCCACGCCGGCCGGGGCCAGAGAGTGAAGATTAATCATGTCCACGTGCTACATGTATTTTTAAAATGTCTTTCACGATCTCCATATTGAATAAGCGGAAGTGTGAGAACACCCTTGTCTGGCCGGGTCCTGGGAGCTGGTGCAGCCCTGACATTCCGCCCATGCCAGCCAGCCTGGTGCCCGGTGCTCACAGGTGGCCTGCTGCCCAGGGGCAGGCCCGCGGGAGACGGCACCAGCCACCCCTCCCCCTTCGGCCTGGACCGAGGACTCTCTTGGTCCAAGAGGCTGTGGCTCCCAGGGGGCCTGAGGGTCCTGTTTCCTGGACCCTGGCCCACCCTCGCCCCCACTGGCCCCTGGGGACAATGGAGCGTGTGTTCTTGCTGCCTGGGAGCTGCCCTTGGGTTCTCCCCTCCCCCTGGGCGTCAGGCAGGCACCTCACGGGACCCTCTCAGAGTCACCCTTGGGCGTTGGGTGCCACTGTGACCTGCGGGAGAGGAGCTGGGCCATCGGAAGCGGGCACCCCCTGCTTGTCCCAGCCAACGTCTCGCCGACCTGCCAGTGCGTCCCCCAGCGCTCCTCCACTTCCTCTCTGTCGACACGTGGGGCACATCCTTCTTTGTTGGGGGTCTGTCCTGTGCATTGCAAATGGCCCACTAGATGCCCATAGCACCCCCACCCTGGGGGCCCAGTGATGACCAAGCACGTCTCCAGGTGGCCCCTGGGCACAGAACTGGCCCTGGCTCAGAGCCGCCGGCCTGCATGACGCACCCTCGTCCTTGAACTCGGCCGGTCCCGCTGAGTCTGTGGAAGTCAAACCCATGCAGAAGCTTCGGGCAGAGGAAGCTCCCGGGTGCCCAGGCCCCACCTGGTGCCCATTGCCCATTCCTCACCCCCGGGGTCGAGAGAGCCCAAGGGGGACCCCTGTGCACACGCGCCTGAGGACGCCCGTACCGTGTCCGGGTGAAGGAAAGCCGTCAGGGTACAGCGTTAGGGTACAGCTCCGTTTTCCTTCCTTTAGAACAAAATCAAGCGCCCGGGGCAGGGGGCAGGGACAGGGCCCGGACTGGGGTGCAGTGGCTTCGGCGCCTGGCGGAGCGGGGCCGGCAGGGTCCCTGGCAGCAGCATTTCCTCGATGCCCCATGATGCACGGCATCACTTTTACATGAAAAAAGACGGTTTTTGTTGGTTAGTTAACCATTTTCGTGTAGCGTCTGAGTAACACTTGTTCCTGAAGAAACAAAACTACGGCCCGGCGGCGAGCAGGCGCCCCGCGCAGCCGCTCTCTCTCCGGAGCCCCGTCCCCCGGGCAGGCGGCGGCTCGTCCTGCACGTTAGAGGCGAGACGTGGAGGCTCCGAGGGAGTCGCTGTGCAGGGTGCTCAGCCCTCCCTCTGAGACACCGAGCTGCTGTGCTCTGAGTCTGGCCCTGGCAGCTTCTGGAAAATTCCGAGAGTTCAGAAGAAGATGCTGAGACCCGTCCATTGGAGCACCACGCGGACACGGCCTCCTCAAGGTTGGGGAGGCCAAGGAGGGCTTCCTGGAGGAGTCGTGTCTGAGCAGCTGAGGGTCAGCATTCGTGCCGGAGCCAGGCAGAGGGCAGGGCTCAGCCTCCCTGTCTGCGTGGACCACACAGGACCGTGTCCAGAGACCATCTCTGAACCAGAGCAGAGCAGCCGAAATGCAAGCCTCACGGAAAACGGGAACGGAACCTCCGCAAAGCAGAGCGGGTGTGACAGAAGCCTGTGCCGTGGAAGACGAGCAGCTGGCAGGACCAACACCCGCCCGCCTCTGTCTGTCACACGCCCTTTGTGCCCTTGAGCTTGGTTTTCGGGCTGGGCGTCTGGCCTTTCCTACCGGGTCCCTGCTCGGCACCGCACCACGGCGGCCTAGGGCATCGCCCACCGTGAATGGCTCTTTGTTCCTGGGAGATGAAGGCAGGCCCGGCGGGCTGGGCACAGGAGCCTGCAGGGCCATTCCTCCGGCACCCGCTGTCCCTTGTCCGAAGCACCAGCCAGGCCCCACCGGGTTCTTTCGCTGGGTTTCCGCCTCCGTGGGATCGGCCCCTTGGGCTGGTGCACCGGGCCTGCCTCCGGGCAGGGGATGGGACGGGCCTGCCCTGGCACAGCTGACAGCTGACAGCCTTCCCGTCTTTCCAGCAAGTGAAGCTGGAGGAGTTTGGGCGGCCGAAGATCGACGGGGAGCTGAAGGTCCGGTCCATCGTCAACCACACCAAGCAGGACAGGTGAGCGGGGCGGGCGTCCCGGGCGGTGGCCCCAGCCCAGCCAGGCACCTGCCCCCACGGCGTGGAAACGGCTTTTCTGCTGGAAAGAGTTGCCTGCCCGCTTGGCTTTGTGTTGCTCCGTTTTAATTGCTTCCTTCCTTC